GACCCATCTATGGACCGCATGTTTGTCGTGTGACAAGTACAATATTATTAGCAGTCCGATGGTGTATAAAATTTGTTGACTGGATTTTCCAAGTGAGCTAACTGGTTAAAAAAGATCAGATAAGTTTTTAATTTAAAGTCTCTACACAAAAATTGAGACTGAGACAAATATATTGACAAAAATGAAACATACAGACAACGATGAAATGTTATGCAGACTGCAATTGCCGTGTTTCACATCAGTCTGTTTTTCTTCTGTTGTTATAATACAAGTGCAAAGTAGTGCACTGGTAAATGGACATTCATTGGTAGCTCAGCCTAGCCGCAATCATGCCTAGCTGACTCCGTGACAGCAAGTATGTTCATGAAGTGCCATTCACCTCACAACTATGCTATGTTGGACAAAAGCTTCTGCAAAATAAAAATAAATGCAAATGTAGAGCTGTTTCACGATTTTACGATACCTCTCAAATGAGTACTATGGAAAAAACAGCAGCAGAATACGACATCACCACATCGCCATACACCAGCTGGGACAAAAATAAATGTTAGTTGGTAAACTGCTTCATCAGCTTATAAAATTGGTCATACAGTATTTACACTGATTGGCCAACTGATAGTCAGTGCTGTAGTCAACCACGATAAATTTCACAAAAAAATTTGCGGTTAAACTGAAGGCACCACCCCAACATTCCTTAGAGCGCTTTTCCACCGCACCAGGTACCATACTTTCGGTACTTCCATAAAGTACCAAAAGTATGGTACTTCTTTTGTGTTGGTTTCCCACTGGTGTAAAAACTGGTACCAGCACCAAATGACATCATCAGTGATCACCCCTGACTGACATCACAAAGCGCGGCGCAGTATTTATTTCACTGAATTCAAACATGTTATTATGATCCTTCACTTTCCTGTAGTCCTGCATAAGTTTTTTGATTTTCAAGCGGCATTGTTCGGTGTTTCGCGTGTGGCCCATTTCTTCCAAGCGGCTTGCTATTACGGCAAATACTTTATTTCGAGTCGTGCCATCCAAATCCCGCTGGATCTGTTCATCCGACCATATGCCGATTAAAGCCTGTGTTACCTCGTTTGTCCACCCTTCCATTTTACTTTTTTATATTTTTGTTTCTACTGCTTCTTATTTAGTTTCTTGCTGTTCGCTGTGTGTCTCAAAAGATGACGGTTGTATTTTGTGTGTCAGTGGCAGGCTATTTGCATAACCAATCAACAGCAAATACGCTTGCAAGTCCCACCCCAAAGTACCAAAGAAGTACCCCAGCTGGTTTGGCACTTTCGGTACTGGAACTCGACCGGAAGTCAATGGAAATGCGAAAGTACCGAAAGTACCATACTTTGTGTGGTGGAAAAGCGCCCTTACACTCTACCCACCTCTCCACAAGTACGAGCACAGGTACATTGGAATGCTTCTCTCTCTCTCACACACACACACACACACACACACAGCTAAGAGTGAACATGGTGCTCAGCTACAGGGTCAGGCCATTTACATAGCCCTCCTTGTATGTCTTAATGGAATCATGTTCACCAGATCTGCAACTGTTCTTTCACATGCCAACACTGACAAGGACTGGGGATAAGTGACGCAATTAAATTCTCTCATAATGAATCTTGCTGAGATGGGGGGGGGGGGGGTTCACCCAAAATATACCAAATGATAATTCTGCAGTTAACACATATTACCATGATACTGCCCAAGCTTACCCTACACACTCATAGTTATTAAAAGCCCAACTTTAATTAAATTCTCCCACAAAAAATTTGCAGAGTTCCTCACAATTAATTTTACCAACTGGCTACCAGATTGCTGACAGAATCTGCCAACCATGAAAAAAGATTATAAACTTTATTTTAGAATAATCAGAAAAGCATATTGTGCCCCATACTTTGAGAATCACTGACCTGTATAATGTCTCTGTTTAAGTGTGAGGAAAAAAAAAGAAACTCAGATGGTGTCTACAAGCCTTCTGTCTGCCCTCTGCTGTGGCCTATCATGGCTATTTCAACTTTGGGGCAATTTGTCGAAGGCCTAAGCTGTAGATTTTCAGGTGAACATTTTCCTCCATATAATGGTTTTATGAAGTAATAATAAGATCGATTAAAGATCAAATAAAGTAAATAGTGTATGCAAGTGTACATAATGCTTTTGCAAACGTGTTTTTTTGCAGATTTTTTAACGTTTTAATACACACAACATTAAGTGATCTCAATTCATTCCTTGTAAATGTGTACGTTATATAAAGAAAAACTGATCTGTAGGTTACAAAAGGAAATACAATGATTTTTCCAAGAAGTGGGCGTGCACAATTTTGCAACTCGGAAATACATTGTTTTTCCAGGTTATTTCATAAACAAAAGTATGATTGTATGATTATGACATGAAGCAATGAATTCAGTAGTTCAACAGCTAACAAAAGATTTTAATCCTTAGAATGCATTTATTTGCCAATATAACCACCTTGTTTTTCTAAGACTTGTATTAGTCTCATACCCACAGACTGTTAGTTTTTTAATATGATTGCACCCAATTTTGGCTGAAACATTCAAGAAATGCCCTAGACTGTTGAGACGTGTGTACTGCTTTGCTGTAAACCCCCCTCTCTTAGGAAGGCCCACAGGTTTTCCAATGAGTGTCACTCATCTCATCAACCCACAAAACCTTTGTCTTGATGCTTTTGCTCATGTTTTTCTTTAAGGATGGCTGGTTTTCTGCTTTTCTGACATTGCCAATCATGCAAAGCATTTTGCATCTTGTGCTTCTGCAGAGTCAAAGAATGTTGTAGTTCTGGAATATGATGGCACTTGAGACTAAAGGGTTCCTGGATACTTCCTGTTTAATTCCTAAGTCTCTTGCAGTTAATTTGTGTGTTTTTGTCTCATTTTTTGTGTCCCTGGGGACTCATACTCAAAAATCTCTTGAATGTGCAGTGATCCTGACTCAACATCTTTGCAATTTCAATTGTTTTGTATTCCTCTGAAAGCCAGTTAACTATTTTTTCCATTTCATCATCTATTAGGTCTGTTTTTTGTTCCATTTTCCCAATTGAAAAAAACTGCCTCATAATTATGCACACCTGAATTTAAGGCATTCCTCACTTTAAGCCACACCCTCTCTTAATAAAGCAATTAGGTCACCTGAAGATGTTTATAAGGAGTGCATAATGAAATTAATATGGCTTTTCATTTGGGGAAAAATGGTATTGGAGAAGCTAATAATTATGTTTTTGGGGCAATTTGTCTCAATATGATATGAGGCGTAGATCTTCATCCATATAATGTTCTTGTGAAGCAGCACTAAGATCAATTAAATACTTTTTGACATCACATTCACAAGGTCAAATGCCATCTAAGAAGGGTTGCTTCAATTTTGGGGCAATTTATCTCAAAATGTGATCAGTTCCAGTTGTTCACCAATACAATATTTCTGCAAAGTTTAAAAAAAGATTTTTTAATCACTTTTGGAAGTATTTTGTGTTAACGATAAACGTGTCTGCAGCGACTGCCCGGTCCCAAAACAATATATATTCCCTGTTTGGAGAATACAATAAGCCTACTAGTTAGGCATAACTGACCAGGCATCTGACTGTGTGTAGGCAATTCACCATGACATCTAACGCATGCTGTTTTCATCAATAACCACAGATAACTACACTAAGCCAGCTTTAGTCATCTAAAATCTCAAAACATTACAAACTGGCTACACTGCACAACAGCAATCTATATATATAAATAACTGTATGTATGAAATTCACCCAGCTGGCAAAATCACTGTATTGTCCCACAGTAACAGGGCCCAAACCGTTGGCTCTACAGCCAAGCAAAAGCCTGGCTCCTAGACCACTGTGATCACACACACACACACACAATAAAAAACAACAAGCAACCAGCATCCTCCGAGAGCAAAAACTCGGCCCCAGTCACCAACTGGACGGGCTTCAGATGAGGCTCTCCACAGATCCCCAGCCTCAGCAGATTAAAGCACTTCTGTCAGTCCACCGGGACCTTGTTACAGTCAACACGGACCAGGCTACCTGCTGTGAATAATTGATGAAGCCATTTTAGATCCTTCTGCATAGGTTATCAAGGATGGGCAAGGGAGACAAAAGGCAATGTTGTTTAGGTGTGCCTCAGAGCTTCTTCCTGGGACCAGACGCAGGTAGGGGGGCAGAATGTGACACCTCAGGCCTCTCAGGGCCCCGTAAAGATGTGAGTGATTCTGCACCGTTCAGAGGACAGTCAGTCCAGCCAGACCCTTCGGTAGCAGACACTGTATTAAATGCTGGGCAAACACACAGCCCATGTCTCCAGTATCTATGAATATTTCATCTGCTCCCAAATCCAGTGTTTAATTTCAACAAGAGAAATTAAGTGCCCCCCCCATCTCCACAAACACCTCCCCCCCCCCAAGCACATCTAGCAAATGCCAATTTATCCTCCGATCAAACAGCATTTGGGTCATTTAGAAGCCCACAGCTATATGCTATGAAAGTTAATGAAGAAATTACGGGAATAGAAAGCGACAAACCCCAAACTCACACGCAGACAGGGAGCAGTAAACTGCACCTGGTTATCTGACCATGCTGGTGACACTAAAACCCAGGGAACCCGGCAGGGTCCCAGTCCTGTTGGGGTAACATTCTTATATTGGGGCGCCTGTTCAGATTATCATTTCTAACAGAGTTTGTTCTCCGGCTTTTAAACCGGAGCCAGGACAAGATGAAGAGCACAGATGCCCCATGGTCACGGGCAGGAAGATTAACCCTGCGTTTCCCATCAAGTACTGGTAGCTGAAGAACAAATCAGCTCCACCAACAAAAAATTGATTTATAAGGTTATAAAATTGCAAAATATAATCATGCATGGGCAGTCTCTGGCATGGCAAAGCAATACGTGTATATAAATAATAATAATAATAATTGTGTGACACCTCCCAGGGGCTGCTGGGATGAACAGAAGAGTGTAACGAGCCGGGCCCGCACTCACCTCCTGGAGAGTTCTGCTCCCGGGGAAGTTGAGGCTGTAGTCCCGCTGGGCCTCGCGGTGGCTCACAATCAGCAGGAAGTTCTGGCTGGCTGCCTCCTGCTGAGCACTTGCGAGGGAGAGGGAGGGGAAAACGTGCGTCAGAGTCAAGCGCAGAGCATGTCATGACTCGCCCTGTGCTTCTCCTCCCTGCGAAGGCCCCCCCGGAGCCCTCCACGCCACAGGCGGCCGCTTCTGTCCAGGCAAGCCTGAGCTGAGGAGGGCGGGGCCAAGGTGACCAGGCCCCTATCATGCTCAGAAAGGGACACCAAGAAAGGGGGGTTACTGACCAGGCCCCAGAGCGGCTGGAACAGCCCCCACTGTGCTCGGACAGGGACACCAAGAAAGGGGGGTTACTGACCAGGCCCCAGAGCGGCTGGAACGGCCCCCACTGTGCTCGGACAGGGACCGAACAATTTATCAATTTCAAATCGAAATCTCAATTTGAAAAAGCGTGTTTAGGAAATCACAAAGGCTGCGATTTAGGACATGTGTTATACAGCACGTCTTAAAACTAGCGCTTAAAACTGTTAAAACTTACAAATTCATGCTGTGTGTGCCTTGTGTGACAGTCCTTCTCACCAATCAGAAATGCCATGCTCCTCGGGTGCCAGTCATGTTTACCAATAAGAAGTGGTCCAAGGCGACTGTGTATACGCCCACAAACAACAAACACTTGAAGGCCAAGGAAAAGGTTACTTTTGTGGTGCGAAAAAATATTGATTCTGCTGCTGAGCTATATGTGAATTACCTACCTATTTCATGGTCAGGCATTGTTTACAGAAAAGTCCTCATCAATAGAACCACTACGACCTCCTTTAACCACCAGCAGCATGCACTTCTGCGTACTACACCTTTCATTTTCGTTAATGGGCTATTTCATTAACATACCACTCACCCAACAAGAAAACAATAGGACAGTCAGTAATCCTCACAGCAGCAGAGCAGTCACCCCAAAAAAGGCATAAAACCCATAATACAATTGTGCTTATGTCATATTTTAGTATGTATGTAGTATTTAAGTATAGGTTTTAATCATAATCTCACACGGTAATAAAAATAAAAGCCTCACTTTAACATAAATACCAAAAGAACTGATCACTTGAATTGCTACTACAGTGGACGGTTTTAGTATTTGAAAAAGATATAATAAGTGACACATATGTTTTCTTCAGCCAAAAAGAGTGCATTTCACTTATTTCAAATAAAACACAGGGTTTTTCAGGTTCATAATGGAGTTATACATATATATTTGCCATAAAATTTCTTGCCTGAGCGTGAGAGTCTGAAAGCGCAAGTGTCACGCCAGATGTGCGAGTTGGCAACCCAGAAGACGTACCTTTTTTTTTTTTATAGTTTCACCTGAGTTGATTTGTATTAAGAAAACATCACTTTATACAGTTGTTAAAAAGTGGAAATGTTGACGAACATGTAGTCATCGATTAAGTACGTCTGTTTCAATGTTTTATAAAATGCCTATGGTTTCTGAAAACTTTTGAGTTGTACAATTTCAGGACAGAGAAGCCGCTCTCTTAGGAACATTACGGCTTTTTGGTTTAGGTGTTAGATTTGCTGCTGTTAACAACACTAATGGCACATTAACACAAAGAAGAGGGCTGCATACGCTAAAGTACGTGTTGCTGGGTAGTTAAAGTAGTTTGACGTACATTTTTGTGAGAAACGGTAGTTCTAGAGTGAAGGGGCCCAAGCTGCATTACCGGCAAGATCACTGTTGTTTGTCTTGTTACTTGGAATCATTTTATTTTATAAAATTAATTTTAAATTAATTTTGAATTATAATTTTTTTTTACAATTAACTTATCAGTCACAGCTTTTGTGATAATTGTTTTACTTTTGATTGTTCTCTGCTAATTTGCTAATTAATAAATACATGTTGGAAGCCATTCATCTTTACATTCTCATCCTGGCGTTTTGATGGTATCATGTGGTAATGCTGTGTCATGTTTTATATCTATTACACACTGAATACTGAACTGAAGCTTGACACATAAAAAAAAATATCACAAATGAAATCATAATCACAATATGTCTGAAAAATCGCGATTAGATATTTTCCCCAAATCATTCAGCACTACTGACCAGGCCCCAGAGCAGCACGAAAGGCCCCCACCACGCTCAAACAAGGACACAAAGAAAGGGGGGGTTACTAACCATACCCCAGAGCGGTGGGAAAAGCCCCCTCTGCACTCAGACAGGGACACTTCTGTTTTGAAGATTGATGAGTCGGAGAATCAGTGAGAAACTGACCAGAAGGGAGTTTTAAAACGTTCTCTTGTTTCATATCACTAATATGTGAGTTCCTACAATAGAAATTAATAGAAAGATTTACAATTAAAAGAAACACAAACAAATGGTAGTCAGGAGAGCAGAAGTGAGGTGCCATGAGAAAAGCTTCCTTCGGATGGAATAGGGAGGGGAAGTTTGGGCAGCCCTGGGAGCTAATCAGGTCTGAGATGGGAAAATGAATAGGGTGGCTTGAATTAATATGTACCACAGGCATTGATTATGCAATCACTGCCTAAAGCTAAGAAGATCTGGCCAAGCCTATGTTAACAGAAGCCCAAATTTACTGTAATGACAGCATATTTACACTGACTAAAAGAACGAGATCAATATGTAAATGTAATGTTTGTTGTAGCTAACACGGAAAATTGGAAATGTGCGGCGGACAAGGAGGCTAACGGCAGAGCCCGAGGGCAGCGCGGGGGAGGAGGTGCCAACACCGATCTTGAATCACAATCATTCCTTCTGGCGTTCCCTAGAATTTAACCAACCTAGAGGTGGCCAGGTGTCATACTGGATGGCAGTTATGGTTAGAGCAGAGAGGCCTAGGCCGCCGTTTCTCTCAGAATAATACTCAATGGCGTTGCTTTAATGAGTGTCAGAAAAGCAAGCTGAACACCACAAATAACGTCCGGACAAAACAAAATCCAACAGGTCGGTGAAAATCTGTTGCATATTTAAAACAATGTGCGAGTGTGAGTCATTTTAATAAAGGAAATGTCAGCTTTTAAAATAAAAGTTGCTATTTTTATTAACAACCACTATTGGTTTAATACTAAAAGCAGCACAACCAGGTAAACCAACTATTTAAGCAATACTTATGGTTATCAGTTATAACAAAGCACACACATTTCACGGCAAACAGTATCGCAGTTATGAAATTTACTCTAAGCAGAAATATACAAATACAGTGGTACCTCGGTTCTCAAACTCACTAGAACTCGAATTTCTTGAAAGTCGAACAAACCAGTTTGACCTAGAACTCGATCTGAATATCAGAAGTCGAACCGTGAACGCTGACCTAATATAAATTGTATGCTACAGGAAATGAGTCATACTACAATGCAATTCTTACTTGAATGCCTTCTTCACAGACTGGACGATTAACCAAATAAAGCAGCGCAACATTACAGTAACTAACAATAAATAAATCACTAACTTACGTGTACTATTAGAGCATTTATGTCATTTATTTAAACTTTATTTTACCAGGTAAATTAACTGAAAACCAGTTCTCACTGCTTTACGTGATATTCAGGAGAAATAGCAGACTACGCATCGGAACTGCCTGGGATACAAACATCATGCGTGTAACTATACTCTTCAGCCAATAAGGGCAAAGGAGTGTCGTCACGGAGGCGGTTCCAGTTTGTGCAGCTGGGTGAGAGGTCACAATGCATCTAACCGTAATGCATTGCGTCAGGGTCAGAATGCGTTGCTTTAAGCCAGCGCTGTAAGCAAGTCGAACGCACCCAATGACCGGACTGGGGAAACAAACTGAAACGCGGACTTAATACAGAGGACTAATGACAACAACCAGAAACAGCTGATCACATGGGGATCCCACACGAGGTTAACGAGGGGGCGTGGCTACACGGAAGGAGCAGACGATCGGGGCAGGACAGGGGTAATGTTGGGATAAGATCTTTATCATTTTGGAAGCCATTAAGAAAAAAATGCTCCTCTTGTTTTATCCTGTTCATTTTGTGTTTAAATGCTAAAAAAAAAAAAACATATTTAGGTGTAATTTGGGGGGGCCGGGAACCAATTAATTGGTTTTCCATTATTTCTTATGGGAAAAATTCGATCAGAACTTGAATTTTTTAGGATTCGATCCGTGGGTCCGGAACGGATTAAGTTCGAGAACTGAGGTACCACTGTACACATATTAACTTACAATACTTGAAGTGCAGTGTGGCGCAAAGTATGCTGGGAACTGCATAATTAGTCCTGCTGACCAACGCTGCAGCGTCACATTTAAATCAGCCAATTGCGGATGGTGGGAAAGATCAGTTGAAATGAAAGTTCACCTGGGAGACCCTGCACTGAAATGGTGATTACGCATCAACGGACATTATATTGCCAAAAATCTTCATCGTCAATGTAACTCGAGGAGGGGCCTTTTCCCCACTATGAGGCGTCAGGGTAACCCTGACAGCAGGGGGATGGGGAGCCGCAGAGGCGGTCAAGTGACCAGGCTCCGTCAGGCATACGGCCACATTTAGATCAAGAGTATTGTGCATTTCTGGGCAGCCGGGCCACAGCAACAGACGGCTCCATACCCGAAGGCAGATAATTTTAAAGAATTAGCGGTCATATTGATGTAATACCCATCATTTTTTTCCTCCGATGAGTGAACGAGGAACAATTGTCACATTTTTTAGCGATAAAGCGTTTAAAAAACAGAGCATTAACAACAGATTGGTTTTACGCTGAGATAAGCCTCAATTCGCAAAGCGTGTCCCCGAGGCTCAGAGCGACCCCAGGTACCTGCCAAAAATGGGGGCCTGCATTCCCCCCCGCCACCAAAAATTGAGATCCAATGGCTCGGCCACTAGATGACGCAACTTGTGGGTAGTGCCAGGTCCAACGAGGCACAATTGAACCGTTCGAGGTCAGTCATGCTTCCCAGGATACATGCCTAATTCAAGATGGCGGTCTTCCATGGCGGAGATTTCCATGGCCTGTTATTCTGTCCCAAGACTAATCAGCATTTTAATTGTTAATAGTTTCCACTGCTTGGTTTGCCAAGAGACAGCCGGCATC